CGCGAAATATATATCTGCCTATTTTCAAGGTTATAGACCTTATAACCCTTCTTTCCAGGGCTATAGCCAATCATTATACATTTAAAACTTCGTAGGGAAAATTTATCCTTCAGAGGTTGAGTATTAGTGGCATAGCAAAGGCACCCAAACACTTTAAGGTTATCATAAGAAGGAATTTTATTGTGAAGGATCTGGAAGGGAGTTTTCCAGTCAAGAATCTGAGTAGGCAACCGATTAATGATGTAAGTGGCCATCAAAACAGACTCTCCCCAAAAAAATTTAGGCAAGTTGGCTTGAAACATAAGGGCTCTCGCAACTTGTAAGAGATGTCTATGCTTTCTCTCAACCACACCGTTTTGTTATGGTGTGTAGACACAAGTTTTTTGATGCAATATACCTCTGTCAATAAGAAATTTCTGAAATTCTGAATTGACAAACTCAGTGCCATTGTCTGATCTCACACATTTAATATCTATGTTAAACTGAGTTCTAAGATATTGATGATAGGCTTTGAAGGTATGCAGAACCTGAGTTTTATGTTTGATGAGAAAAGTCAAAGTAGCTCTACTTAAATCATCAACAATGGTTAAAAAATAATGTGCCCCTGTAATGGAAGCTTGTTTGTATGGTCCCCACAGATCCATATGGATTAATTCTCCAACTAATTGAGTTTGTATCACACCTTTTTTAAAAGGTAGTCTAGGTTGTTTGGAAATGGCACAAATATCACAATGGGAAAGAAAACCATCATCACAGCTATTAAAGAAATCCGAATGTTTCATAGCAACATCAGAAACGTGTCCCAGCCTTTTGTGCCATAGACTTAAAGATTTATCGATGACAACATTAGAAGACACAGGGAAATTGTTAAATTGAGGAAGAACAGAATTACAGGTGGATTCTTTGAATTTATTCAGAACAGATGAAGTAAAAGAAGTCTTGTCCAGAATATATAGATTTCTGACTAGCCTACCAACTGCCTTGATTTCTTCAGTCTGATGGTCCTGTAAAAGGCAGTAATTATCTGAAAAAATAAGTTTCATTTTTGAAGTTTTCGTTAACTTGCTGACAGACAACAAATTAAACTTGAACGTAGGAACATGTAGGACATCTTTCAGAGTAATGGCAGGATGAATTTGAATATCTCCAGTATGCTGAACAAAATTGATGGATGCATCAGGTAGGTATACAGGAATAGCTGAAGTGCATTGCTTTGGTTTTTTAAAAAAATTTAAGTTGTTGCACATATGATTAGATGCACCTGTGTCTAATATCCAAGAGCCTACTTCTAACAGGTCTGAAGTATTTAAAGTCAGAACAACATCAGGTTTGAGCGCAGAACCTGCAAAATCATCGAGGTGAGCAAAATTTATCACATCACTTCCATTGCTTCCTTTCATCATTTTTACCAATTCTTGTTGGATCATCTCTGACAAATTGAACTTTTGAAACTTGTCTTTCATTTCCTGATCTGTTTCAAATGGTTTATCAGCCACGTTTGCTGAATATTTCACAGTTCCAGATCTATTCTGATTCTTCAGCTGCTTAAACCAATCCGGACAACCTATAATTTTGAAACAACCATCCTTGGTGTGACCATTAACCTTGCAATGAGTACAGTATAACAATTGTCTCTCCCTTTTTACCATTTCATAACTCTTTCCTCCCATAAGTCTGCCTCCATGATCCTTCTTGAAGCTATTTGCCTTAGAAAACATGGCATTCATTTCAGTTTCATTGCCAAAGGATATATGTACTTCTTTCTGTTTCTCAATTCTCTGGATCATAGCATAAGCCTTGTTAACCACAGGTAGGGGCTCCATAACCAAAATCTGGCCTCGAACTTGTTCATATTCCTCATTTAGTCCCATGAGAAACTGCATTAACCTATTAAATGAAGTTACATCTGATATCGCCTTAGCTGAACCACAAGTACATTCAGGTAATGGCATAAGATATGTTAATTCATCCCATAGACCTTTCAATTTTGTGTAGTACTGAGATATTGACTGATTGCCCTGTGTTATCGAGCAAATTTCCCTCTGTATTTGGTATAATTGTGGACAATTGCAACCACCAAATCTCTCTTCCAATTCACTCCAGAGTTCTCTAGCAGAGTTAGTGTATAAAAATGGATCAACGATGTCTTTTGAAATTGAATTTAGGATCCACGAAGTAATCATGCAATTGACTCTATTCCATTTCATAAACTGATGTGAATTCTTAGCTGGAGGTTCAATTGTTCCATCAATGAACCCTAACTTCATTTTTGCACCTAGTGAAATTCTAACTGACCTACTCCAAGCCAGAAAGTTTTTTCCGGTAAGTGGCACAGTAACAAGTGACATACCAGGATGATCTGAGTTGCCTAACTGAAGTGGATCTCCTTCTTCAGTTTCGCGACGAGCTCTATTAGCTGGCGAAACAGCATTTTCTTCGAATTCGTTATCCATCAGAAAATCAGGATCATAGATCACTAGTGATCACAATGTATCAGATCCTATCTTCAGGGTCTTTCCGCTCTGATACCATGAACAAATTGAGAATCAAGGAAGGAGCTCTTCCAATTTTTATTCCATCAAAATCAATCGAAAAATGAAGCCAACGCACAGTATAAATGCACCGGCTAAAAACAAACATAATAGACGCTTACAGCGAAATTGCAATCTAAGGAACAAACTATCAAACAGACCCAAATAAGGACTGAAAGAATAATTGCACGTACGGTCCTTAAGAAATAAAATGTAAACATTAAGTACTAAAATTCAACAAATTCTCAATTCCACTTTATTACTTGTTACAAACCGTACACTTGCGGTGATTTAAAACGAATAATTATTTTTCGTGAACAGAGAAAACCGGAAAGACGGCATTATATTACCACAATTGAGTTGAGATCAACAACGTTTCAAGAAAGCATATTTTGAATTTGAATATCCATTTTTTCAGCCATGGGATTTAATGCCTTCCGTTTCCAATTTTTGTAATGATTTCAGTTACATATACCAATAGAGAAAGTGTGTGTACAGTAAAAATGGTGTTATTATTATATTAAGTAGTAAATTTGAATAAAAAATTTAGGTAATACTGTAAAATGAACATCTTTATACTTGTAAGGCATATATAAATTTTTCCCAATCATTTATCCAATTACGACAAGATTTATTTGGTCTAGATATTAGATTGCATCAAAAAGAATGTGTGTGTGTGTGAGAGAGAGAGAGAGAGAGAGAGAGACAGAGAGAGAGACAGAGAGAGAGGTTTATGTGTCTCTATCATGTTCGTATCCGTGCTTAGAGTCTGTTTTAGTTAAGTATAGAAAAGGCATTTTGTATTGGAGCCATATTCCCACCTGCGTTGTACTCAATTTTTAAGGTCTTGGTCCTCTCATCGATCTTCATCTCCGTGGATATCATCTCACAAGTCTCTCATGAATACATCCAATTTGTACGAGAAGTCCAAGCGTAATTGAGTTGCATGTAACGAACCCATTACTGCACAGACAGAGTTGTTCATGTTAGAGTCACGTTCATACGAATTAAACAACGTGCAAAATATGATTAATCCTGTTAAGTTTAATACACAAAGTTAAACAAGAAATTGTACTACAAATGGAAAATCAGTATTCAAAAAACTCTATCAAGCAACATAAATAATGAATATGTGAAAATTAATATTTCATGTATTATCATAAATTGACAAATCTAATAGAGATCCTTTTACAGACTAACATAGTATGGAAATGTAAAGTAAGTACTGGAATTTGATAGAATAACTAGAATAAGATTGCACCAAATGTTTACAAGTATATGATTTCACAAACGAAGAATTGATGTTTCAGGATTGGAAAATATTATGGAGAATGTTTATGCACAAATAAATTGATGAAATTGTTAACTGTAAACAATTTTTCAAGGATCTGCAAAGTAACCCAACTGGTAATAAAAAATGGATCTCTTGCAAAATGGAGAAAACCGGAAAGACAGCATTATATTACCACAATTGAGTTGAGATCAACAACGTTGCAAGAAAGCAGATTTTGAATTTGAATATCCATTTTTTCAGCCATGGGATTTAATGCCTTCCGTTTCCAATTTTTGTAATGATTTCAGTTATATATACCAATAGAGAAAGTGTGTGTACAGTAAAAATGGTGTTATTATTATATTAAGGAGTAAATTTGAATAAAAAATTTAGGTAATAGTGTAAAATGAACATCTTTATACTTGTAAGGCATATATAAATTTTTCCCAATCATTTATCCAATTACGACAAGATTTATTTGGTCTAGATATTAGATTGCATCAAAAAGAGTGTGTGTGAGAGAGAGAGAGAGAGAGAGGTTTATGTGTCTATCATGTTCGTATCCGTGCTTAGAGTCTGTTTTAGTTAAGTATAGAAAAGGCAACTTAAATTCCTTTTAGTTTTCGTTTGGCATTGCTTTTTAAAAGTCAAAAACTACTTTTAGGATTAAAAAGCTGCATTTGAACATGTTTGGATAATTTTTTTAAAGAACTTTATTATGATAGAAGAACTTTTAGAAAAAGTTGACTTATGAAACTTTTCTACAATAGGTAGAAGCACCGGCAAACGGTCCCTTATAAAAAGGTGTGATTTAAAAATAGTTAACTATCAAATATAATTAGCAAAGAAATTACGGTCTGACTGGCCTGGTCAGCTCTTTTATATTGGTTTTGATTGAAGATATATTTTAAGGCTTGATCCAGTGATTTGTACATATTTTTTACCTTTATTTTTGGCAGATAATATATTTTTACCATAGTTATTATACGTGTACACTGTACAATTCGATCCCTGCATGGAATTGTGCATGAAATCTGTGTGGTAAATATTTGACGTAAAGGCCTTGATGAATTTAGTCGCGGATGAAGATCCATATTCAGTGCCTATTAATTCTCATTCTCTCTTTCACATTTTGTATTAATACTCAGCACGAAGCACAACACTGACCAACGGAAAAAATACAAGGACATACTGTCATGAAGACATCAAAGAATAATCTCCTTTTCTTGTTTTTCAATCTTTGTATTATTTCTGTTCAGATCAATGCCGAAGAACGAAAGGTAATTTTTACAGTATAAGAAAACTTGTAGAGATTTTTTTTTAAAAATATTCTGAAAGTATTTGTTTGTTTGCAGCCTTACATTGTTTACATGGGAGATCTGCATGAGGACACTCAGGACAGTATATTCTTGATGGATGAACACCACAGCCTACTTTCTGAAGCAATTGGAGAGTAATAAAAACATTTATATTTATTTATAGTACTGTGTTCAACTGAATTATTAAAGAAAATGTGTGTGCATGTTTATTTTTATTTTTTTAATGTTTTTAGTGAACTGATAGCTAGAAACTCCAAGATACATAGCTATGGAAAGAGCTTTAATGGATTTGTGGCAAAATTGCTCCCTCGGGAAGCGGAATTCTTATCGAGTATGTATTGATGCACTAAATTATTTTTAGTTCTTCTGGTTTTTAAAGATTTCTTCAATTATTTTCACTTTCGATATTCATTTAATTACCCAGAGAAAGATGGAGTTGTTTCTGTATTCCCAAACAAAGTGCAGAAGCTTCGCACAACAAGATCCTGGGATTTTCTTGGAATGCCGATGACAGTGAAAAGGAAACAGGAAGAGAGTGATATGATTGTCGCTCTTATGGATAGTGGTAACTGAAATTTGCTTTGTAAATTTGTCCGTCTATGATTTCGACTTATGCTTTTTTTTTTTTTTTTTTGGTTCTTTTTCATTTTTTACCTAGGGATTTATGTACAGTCTCCCAGTTTCAATGATAAAGGTTATGGACCTCCTCCTGCTAAGTGGAAGGGCAAATGTGTAAAGGCTGGAAACTTCACTGGATGCAACAAGTAAGTCTCCCTAATGTTCCGTTTATTCTTGGCCAATTAGGGGAATATTGCTAGTGTATTTAACAGTGAGTCGTTTGTCGTTGGACAGCAAAGTCATTGGTGCGCAGTACTTCCTTCTTGAAAAAGATGGGCCACTGGAAGAGAAGTCTCCGGCTGATTTGGATGGACACGGGAGCCACACTGCCTCGACTGCTGCAGGAAATACTGTACATGGTGCGAGCTTATATGGTATTGCAGAAGGTACTGCTCGAGGTGGAGTGCCATCAGCCCGTCTTGCTATATACAAAATATGTTGGACTTTGGGATGCTCGGACATGGACATATTGGCAGCATATGATGCTGCCATTGCTGATGGAGTCGATATCATATCGTTATCATTAGGAGGGTACCCGCGGGATTTCTTCGAAGATCCAATTGCCATTGGATCCTTCCATGCCATGAAGAAGGGAATCTTAACTTCATGTGCAGCAGGAAATGATGGACCTGTACTTTCAACAGTAGGAAATGTTGCACCGTGGATCTTGACTGTGGCTGCTAGTAGCATTGACCGACGATATGAAACCCCCGTTACATTAGGCAATGGAGAGAAATTTACCGTATGTCCCTTCTACTTTTTCTACGAATTCAATCCTTCATCTATAGTTCTTATATACGGTTTAATTTATCTTTTCAGGGTAATGCGATCAATACATTTGAAACAAATGAAAGTATGTACTCTTTAACGAATGGAGCACACGCACAAAATATTTCTGGAGATCCAATGGGGAACGCCAGGTATTCATCTTGAATTTTTTTACCAAACGGCGAATGCTGATACACTTATATACTTGGTTTTTTGTCACAGTGCCTGTGAATATGGGACACTAAGTCAGAATAAAGTGAAAGGAAAAATTTTGTATTGCATAGGATATTTGGGTCAGGACTCCATCGTCGATGAGTTAGGTGGAGCTGGGATTATCATGTCTGATTATAGCAGAGACACTGCCTATCCTAATCTGATACCAGGAACATTTGTCAGTATTAAAGATGGTGCAAAGATTGATAAGTACATCAATTCAACTAGGTTCGTCATATTATTTTCATTTGTCGTATTTATTCCATGCTGTTAAAATGTCATCATATTCTTGAGTAATCTTATTTTAGGAACGCGCAAGCTGTTATATCCAAAACGGTAACTGCAAACATGACAGCACCTTTCATAGCTTCGTTTTCATCAAGAGGTCCACAGACATTGAGTTCAAACATCCTCAAGGTAAAGAATTTTTTCCCTGTAATCGACATTTCTTTCTGTCATAGGTTCTTACTGAGTTTGTCATCCTATAGCCCGATATTGCTGCACCGGGGCTTGATATTTTGGCGGCCTATTCGCAATTGACGACAATGTCAGGGGATCCATCTGACGAAAGGGTTGTGAAATTCAGCATTATGTCCGGTACATCAATGGCTTGCCCTCATGTTTCGGGGGCAGCTGCCTATGTCAAATCCTTCCATCCTGATTGGTCCGTTGCTGCAATCAAGTCTGCTCTAATGACCACCGGTAAGTCCCCGTAGTGGTTGAGGCTCTTGAGAGCTTTTGAATTATATCCTCTACACGTTTATTTTCTGAATATAATTTGACATTTTTGTTGCAGCAAAAAGCATGAAGATCAGACCAGATGAGGCAGAATTGGCATCCGGTTCTGGCCAAATAAATCCAAAAGTAGCATTGCACCCTGGTCTAGTTTATGACATTCAATATGATGATTACATTAGCTTCCTCTGTAAACAAGGATACAACAGCTCAACTATTGCAATGTTAACCGGCAACAAAAAGTACAATTGCTCAAACTTCCCCGTAGCAAAAGGAGCAGATGGCCTAAACTATCCAACCATGCATGTTTATCTGAACAGTTCTCAATCTTCTTTTTCTGAGGTATTTTATCGTACTGTGACTAATGTTGGCTATGGAAAATCAGTCTACCGAGCAAGTATTAGGTCTCCAAACGGACTTTCTATCACAGTCGTACCAAAAATTCTGACTTTCAACGGGCCAAACCAGAAGAGATCTTTCAAAGTGATGGTGAATGGCAAATTTCTTCAGGCGAGTTCATGGGTTCTCTCTGGAAGATTAGTCTGGAGTGATTCCAAGCATAATGTTAGGAGTCCTATTCTCATCTGTAGGACAACAAATAGAACTTTGCTTTAATACATTTTCAAAATTTCATGCTTCTGCAAATATACCCAATGCAAAGCAATTTGATCACTTCTCATTGAACTGCTTGTATTTTTCGAATTAGTATATGATGTCAAGTCCTTTCAAGCACATTGATTGGATAATTACAGATAAAACATAATTTCACATAATATGAAATGAAAAGAGGCACAAACCAAATGTCATCGTCCAACTTTAGTGTTAGCTCCTGTCAGTCTTGATAATGAGCTCCAACAACAACAACCTCTAATCTTGTATTTTTCGAATTAGTATATGATGTCAAGTCCTTTCAAGCACATTGATTGGATAATTACAGATAAAACATAATTTCACATAATATGAAATGAAAAGAGGCACAAACCAAATGTCATCGTCCAACTTTAGATTACTGACTTCTGTGATTATTCTTTAAACGCCAAAATATACTACATATGATAGACCATGAAAAATTGTGATTATGAAAGCAGCTGCATCTAGTACAATGTTAAATTACGCAACGACGCTGGAGTAAAAAATCAAAGACTCATACAAAGTGTTGACCGCTTAAGAAATCATCCGCATGTAATACAATGTTAAATTACTCAACTAATATGAAAATACTAAAGCATTTGTACCAAAATATCATCAACGATAGCCTTCTGTTTAGTTAAGCACGATGTATTTACCTGATAGAGATTTAAACTGGCCATCCAACCAAGAATATGGAGATAAAACATCTAAATTTCAAATATAAAGGCCTCTTAAAGGAAGTCTTTCTGAAACAAATTCTGGTCCTTGTATTCTTCACCAGCTCTTAAAAGAATATTTACTGCTTGTACAACGGCAATGTAGATTTTTCAGTTTTCACAATTCCTTCCTCTTCCTCCTGGCCTCGGTTGATGCAATGTTATCCTTTGACTTCCCACTAGACCAGAGAAAATCGGTTTTTTAGAGTCCGGCAATGAGTGTAAACCATGTACCATACGCTCAGGGGCAGAAAAAAGAGTTTCGATGTCAGAAGAATCCTCTACCCAAGCACTTATACATCTAAAATTTGCTGTTTGTGTTAGGATGAAATCGGTGAGGGAAAACTGAATCTCGTTTATTGACTAACTTGCCAAAATGATCATACAAAAGACATATAAATAGAAGTCAAAGTTGGCACCAAAAATAACCAACAAACTAACAACTAAACTAATCAATCCAGCTGTATTAACTAACTAACAGTAAGGTAGAAAAGAAATGTGTAAATGTGTTACAGTTCTAATACTCCCCCTCAAGAGGTGCTGTAAATATTCTTTACACACATCTGGGATAATAATGGAACTAGAACAGATGCAGGCAGGGCTGAGTGAACACATCAGCAAGTTGATGTTGGGAACGGATTGGCAGCAGCTTAACAACACCATTTGCAATTTTGTCTCGAATAAAACGGCAATCAATTTCGATGTGTTTCGTTCTTTCATGAAATGTGGGATTATTGGCAATTCGGATTGCAGATTGGTTATCACATAATATAATTGCTGGAGACACAATATTTAGTTGAAAATCTTTCATCAGTTGGTTGATCCAAATGACTTCACTAACAATGGCACCAAGCACCCTGTATTCAGCTTCAGCTGAGGAACGAGATATGGTAGGCTGCCGTTTTTTTTTCCATGACACTAATGATTCTCGAAGAAAGACTCAAAAACCAGTAGTGGATTTCCTGGTGTCAAGACATGATGCCCAATCAGCATCTGAAAAGGCTCGGATCTTGATATGCGATTGCAGGTCAGAAAAGGCAGAGAAGAATAGGCCTTGCCCTGGATTATTTTTCAAATAACGAAGAAGGTGGTGGATTGCCTCACTACAAAAAAATTCAGCTTTTGCAACGTTTAAAAAACATTGCTAAAACCTTTTTGTAACGTTTTGCATGTGTTGCGAGCTTCAGTGTTGCCGTAGACCATAAGGATACAGCAACGTTTATACACCGCTGCTAAAGCTAAATACAAACGTTACCGTTTCGTTTTTGCAACGTTTAAAAAACGTTGCTGAAAGTCATTTGCAACGTTTTTTAAACGTTGCCGTAGGTCTTTGGCAACGTTTAAAAAATGTTGTCGTAGGTCTTTTTGGCAACGTTTTTTAGTCTTTGCCGTATCTTTCTACTCTACGGTAACACCTCGATTTGCAACACACGTCCAAACGTTGCAAAAGGTCTTTTTTGAACGTTGCCGTAGGCTGTTTTTGTTGTAGAAACGTTGCCGTAGGCTGTTTTTGTTGTAGTGACGTCCTAAACACTTTTCTCATGTCAGGCACCATGAATTAAGATGAAGTCGAGCTTTGTACTTAATTACGATGACTCTTATTGTTAGTTAAACTCAAACTCTGCTGGTACGTATTATATTCTTCCAAACTCATCATTTGTATTGAATATTATTCACAAATAACTTTTTAGTAAGTGGCAACATATCTCATCATATTAAATCAGAATGTCACAAAATTGTATCGC